ACATCGTGAAAAAATCCAAAAAAATCACCGAAATTTTTTATTTTTTATATTTTTTTTCGATAGGACATAATCTTGCATTTTAAGGGATTTCGGGAACGAAACTTCGGGAAGTTTTAGGAAAAATTTTTTTTTTTGTTTTTCATAAACCGTCTTAGAAAAACCAAATTTAGGAAAAATATTTTTTGAAAGAATTTGAGGAAAAAAAGATTAAAAAAAAAATTTCTTTTGAATTTTTTTTTTAGAAACCAAGTCTTAGAAAAAAAAAATGTGAAAAACTTTCTTTTGAAATAATTTGAGAAAAAAAAAGTTTTGAAAAAATTTTGAAAAAAAAAAGTTTTAGGAAAAATTTTTTTTGAAAGAAATTGAGACAAAAAAGTTTTCAAAAAACTTTTTTTGAAGAACTTTTTAGAATTTTTTTTCTTAAAAACAATGTTTAGAAGGATTTCTTGAAAACAAATTTTGATATAAATTTTAGAATTTTTTTTCAGAAACCATCTTAAAAAAATTTTTAAAAAAAAAAAAATTTTTTGAAAGAATGAGAAAAAAAAGTTTTCAAAAAATTTTTTTTGAAAAACGTTTTTCTTAAAAGCAATGTTTTGAAGGATTTCTTGAAAACAAATTTTGAAAGAAATTTTAGATTTTTTTTCAGAAACCATGTCTTAAAAAAAAAAATTTAGAAAAACTTTTGAAATAATTTGAAAAAAAAAGTTTTGAAAAAATTTCGAAAAAAAAAGTTTTAGAATTTTTTTTTGAATTTGAAAAAAAAAATGTTTTCAAAAAATTTTTTTGAAAAACTTTTTAGAAATTTTTTTTCTTAAAAACAATGTTTTGAAGGATTTCTTGAAAACCAATTTTGATATAAATTTTAAAATTTCTTTTTTCAGACACCGTCTTAGAAAAAAACATTTTTTAGAAAAACTTTCTTTTGAAATAATTTGAGAAAAAAAGTTTTGAAAAAAATTAGAAAAAAAATTTTGAGAAATGTTTTTGAAAATTGTTTTTGGAAAAACTTTTTAAAAAAAAATCAGAATCCAAATTTTAGAAAACAAATTTTGAGAACATTTTTATATTTGAAAATTTTTTTTAGATTTTTTTATCTAAAAATAAATTTTTTAAATTTTAATTTTTTTTCAAATAAAAACTTTCTCAAAAAATTTTTTTCTAAAATTTGGTTTCCGAATTTTTTTACAGCAGATTTGAGTTTCTGTCAACAGGTTAATTTTGAAAAACGCTGGTTATCACCTTTTCTGACGTTAAAGATCTGGTGGTCTGACCACACGTTTTATACGAATATGTGTGAATATGTGTATCTGCAGAAGGCTGGAGGCTGAAGGGAAATCTGTGGTCATAAACAGTTAAAGAAGTAGAAGGTGAGTTTCAGTATTTACCCTGTGGTCTGTGGTTTGGTTGCTGAGGCCCAGCTGCTCTCTCAGAGGGGAGAATGTACTCATAATGAACACCAGGGTTTGGCTGCTGGAAGATCATCTAAAGGAAAGTGGAAGAAACTCAGTCAACAATCCTAAAATAATACTCAAGACCTTCAAATATTTCCCTCACAAAATATGATATCTGCACCCAGAGTCATATTTTGCTTGGACAAACTCACTATCTCCCGTTATGAATGAAAAAGAAGAGTGACAAGGAGAAGGTGTCCTGAGGCTCAAACTGCTTAGGCACTCACGTAAACTTCCAGGACCTCATTGGTGGGCCCTTCAGCCAGAAAAGACTCCCCGGCTGTGCTGCTGATTTCATTGGGGCGCCGATAGGTGAACATGGTGCCCGCGCCCTCGTACCTCCCCGGTCGGTCGATAGCCCAGTTGCCATTGATGATGGATCTCCCCGATCGACTACGTAGAGCTGGAAGAGACAGAGAGTACCAACGCACCATCACCACCGATGATTCTGAGCTCAATCTAAAAGAAAAACAGCGCCACAGCCCACAGCACGTAATTACTGTTTGGTATGAAAACCTTCAGACCAATTGAAACCTATAGTAAACGGTATCACAACCAGCTCTACCCTCCTGAAAACTATAATTACAGCTTACTGAATAAACACGCTCACATGTGCACGTTGAAAGCAATGTCTTTTACAAATGTGACAAACTGTTTGTTTTGGCCGCTCTCTCCTGCAAATCCTGAAACTGAATCTTCGCAAAATGTTTTCCACTGATTTCATGGATTAGGAACAAGAGGCCATTAGAAAAGCATTAGAGGTGAAACATAAGCCAGACTTGTAAAAGAGTGTTTGGACAAGTAAAAGCACTGTCACAGATGCACAGTGTAGAACAGAGGCCTACTGAAGGATAAAGTAGGCGACTCGCGCCAAAGTCTGTTCCACCTTCACAACTGTGTCGGCATTCTCCGAAAATATGTGAATGTATTCGAACAACAATAATGGTGCAAGCAGCAATGCCTGATGGTCAATTTAAAAAAAAAAAGATTATTTTTACAGACCTCTAACGTGATTTTGACTCAAGCGTTTTTCCGCGCAGGACTGTTTTCCTTACAGTTTCTTGTGTGAATTCTTCGTGCCCTGTATTATTTTGCCCAGCTTTTAATTAAAACGGTGGTTTGTCCTGGGGGTAAATCCTAATATTTGTTTTAAATTTGTGTTGTTGCTATTTTTGTACTTTAAGAAAGTGTCTGCTTGGAAAAATCAAGATGATTCTTTTTCTTTCTTTCTTTCCTTTTTTTTTTCAAAGGAAAACCTCTAGAGCTGAGCCAGGCCACAGCTCCTAATTAAACCACACTTTAAACTTCTCAAATTAAATTTCCAGTGACTTCTGAGCAACAACCACCGCTGTCTGCCTCCTCATCTGTTGAGTGCAGTTCAATTCCAAATTGTGGTAAAGTGAAAATGGTGCCTCGAGTGGAGGGTTGAATTTTCCAAGTGTGTTTTTATATAAAAAAAAAAGAAAGAGGAAGGGACTTGAACTGTAAACCACAGTAGTGTGCCACTCTGGCTGCACACACACACCCACTGCTTTTACAGTTCAGTGTGACACTGTCCTGGGATTTCTTACAGGTGTCTCTGTCAACACTGTGGCCGACTGACAAGGATATTATCGTCCTGATGTTAGAATAATTATGTGAAATCTGTAAGAATTTTTATCCGTTTTTCTTCCGATAATGAAAATCAGATAACGCAATGCCTGGGTTTTGCCAAATTTGCTGAAATGGTTTGTAATGTCCTGAGACGTTCACCTCAGATTTGGGGGCAAACAGCTGCATATGTTGGTATCCGTTGATATCGGAATCGGAAAATGAGGCAATATAATAACAGCATATGGGACATCCCTAAATGCAATATATATTTCAGTTGGGAACCACAGACTGGTACTCACCCAGGTAGTTCCTGCTCTTCAGCATTTCTGTGACGTTGATCTTGGTGGCACCTTCAGGGATCTCCACGATCTTGTGATAGCCAATCTTAGACAAACTGTGTTTGAAGACCCCGGAGATCAGCCGACAGGTGGTGTTGTCACCTCCACACACTCCACACTTGTCCACCACCTTTCCCGACCCGAGGTAGTCATCGCAGCCTAGACTCTGTGAGGGAAAAAAATAAAAAACAAGAGGAAGTTTGGTCATAAATTAGACTAAACATGGCAGCCACAGAGTTTAAGGGGTGTATAAATACACATTATAATATATAATATATAAATACATAAAGTTATTATATTAATTTAAGGGATATATACAGTATATTTACATATATACACACAAAATATACAGTATATTTACATATATATACACAAACATATATATCAGTTTCTACATTTCTACTCTTTACAAAGCTTTAAAACTAGCAGCAAACGACCGCGGTAAGTGGTAAAAATACACTTTGAATACTATGATCCAACATACATTAAAATGAAAAGTCAACAAATCTGTTTCCTCCAACAATGTTGTTTTGTTTTGGTTTTTTCGGCACCCTATAAAAATTAGCAATATTTCCATTGGTAAAAATAAAAATACTCATAATACATTGGGAGATAACATGTATTTGTGGTTCAAGGAAACACAGAACCATACACTTGTAGTGACTGAAGGGATTTGTGTTGTTTTAAAAACTCCCAGCCTTATCAACAACCTGAAAATACTTGTTTTCTCTCTGTTTCTTTTTTTCTCTCTTTATATGAAGTCTGCAGTAACCCCGTGTCACCTCTGTGGCGATGCCTCCTACTGGAGACCTGGGCACAGTAAAAATAGAACAGTTAACCTCAGCAGTCCATAAACTCACTCAAAGCTGCAGTAAAAGTAAGTCACTGTGCAAACAGGTGGTGCAGCTACCGTACACTCAGGGGGGGGTCGACCCACACAGACCGCCCTCCAATCAGGAAACCGGCGTGAGCAGAGGCCACGCATAATAACGGAGGCTTCAAACCTCCGGCCGCCGCTGCTGGAGTTGATATGTTTACCCTCCTCCTCCTCCTCCTCTCCAGCACCGACAGCTTTCTCTTCACTGTTGTGTCTGCTCTCTGTAATAACACTCGTGAAGCAAGTACTTCAGTATGGCAGGCCGAGGTGGGGGCCGCGCCGCTCCACATGTGGTTTGAGGTGGAAAACCTTTACTCTGAAGACCTCAACAATTTACAGCAACTGTCTAATAAGTCATCTCTATGGGTTTGAGTGTGTGAGAGCAGCCGCGCAGACGGGCCAGAGAGAACGGAGGAGAGACGGTAGAAAGGGGGAAAGGAAAAGGGAAAAGATGAGGGAAGTCTGTCCCACTCCACCACCCACTGCTGCTCCATCCGCCCTGGGCCAAGACAAACACCGAGTCCCCCACTTCCACACAGGAAATAAGTGATGAGAGAAAAGAACAGCAAACGGTGAGTGCTGTGAAAAGCTGCTAACTGCCCTCGGTGGTGGTCAAGGAGGAATTCTGCCGCGCTGCTGCATGGGGTTAAACAAAGCCGGGCTGAAGATGACTAAACACGACACAAGAACACGCCGGAACACAGTGCTGCGTCTCAGGCTCTCACCTTACAGATCGGTGAATATAAAACAGCCACAGATTCTGCAGTTCAGTCCCAGCGGAGCCCGTAACACACAGAGAAACACGTGAGGGCATTTTAACTAGCTCCAATATGGCTGCCATGGAAAACAAATAAAAATGCAGATGAGAACAGCTGTCGGTGACACGAATATCTTCAATTTCACCATAAATACCTTTGAGATAAAGGAACAGAATTTTAGAGGCTCAGCAGCATTTGCCTTAAAGGGAAAACTGTTCCTCTTGTAAAACTGATAGTGAAAATGCTAAGAGGTTATCTGTGGCAGTGTTGATGGAGGAGTTTAAAAAAAAAAACGGAAAATCAGGTCACTTTAAACTCTGTTCTTGTTCAAGGTCACTGAACAGAGTCGACTAAGCCTCTTTTATGCTTATTTATGTTAATACATCCTCCAGAGGGTGCTCTTGTTGGCACGGGCGTTAACAGCACATCCACAGGGGGGCAGACTTCCACCTCTACTACAGACTTAACGTCCTTCGTCAGCTCTCTGTCCTTGTGACGAGCTAACATAAGCGACATGCTGAAAGTCACAAAAACATTTCCCTCCACTTCTGTCATCGTTCTGTCGTTGTCTTTTTCTTCTTCTCTGTGTCTTTCTGGTCCTGCGTGAGCTTCACTGGCAAACACTGTACCCACAATTCCCTGTGGTATTACTACTGCGTTTACTGCGAGAACAAACTACGAGGAAAGGCATTTAGCATTGAGCAAGAATTAGCTTAAAAATATAACGGGTGCTATGGTGGTTCAGTGGTAGGACTCCTGCCTGCCACCAGAAGGTTCTGGGTTTTATATGATCTGGTCCCCAGTTCACAGATTGGTCTGTGTCAGGAAGGTCATCCTGTGTGAATCAACAACCAAACAAAAAGTACTTCATGTTGGTTTTGCTCAGTCAGGAAGGTCATCCTGTGTGAATCAAAAACCAAACTTCATGTTGGTTTTGCTCATTTTTTTTATTTTAAAATGTTATACTAGATGTTGCATTGCACCTGTAATATTATTTTGAGCATTTTAATAAGCCTTCAGTGTAGTCTATGGGCCGTGGCCCACAGCTGGGTCATGTCCACGAAATACTCGAACAAACTGTGAATATATACACATTCTGCTCATATAGGAAAAATTACTGTAAAAAGCCAAATGTCTCACATTAATGAGAAAATACAACAGAAAAGTAAAAATGTTTACAATAATCGACACGTTCTTATCCACCAAATCACTGTGGATGTTTATAATAAATGACTAAAGTGACTGAATGAAAATGAGTATCATGAACCATTGAAACAGACTGAATGAAAATGAGTATCATGAACCACTGAAACAGTATTGGTTCTTTTAAACTAAAAAAAATATTTCTGGATTTCCATGACAAAAAAAAAAAACATCCATTCCAAGGTGACTGAAGCAGTTTCTCCAAACTGTCAAAACACCATGTTAGAGCCGAGCAGCAGCAGCAGGAGGAGGACACAATAACAGCGTTTTCCTCAGGCTGTCTTTGACACGCGACACTGAGAGTGAACCTGTCAAAATGTTGCTGTTGTCAGGATGAGTGAAACCACAGTTTGGTGATTGACCAAACCGTGAGCTGGTCTCTCCACTCACAGACCGAGCCGTTGCCTTTTGTCACCTCTCCTCTGTGTGTTCGCCTCACGTCTCTGTGAGGAGGAAAACGTTTGCCAGTGGGTTTCCAGGGAATTTTGGTGTTTTATTTAAAAAGAAAAAAACAAACCTTCGAACACATAACCACTTCTTCTGGAAATGGTTATGTGTTCGACAGAACTCTTTTGTCTAACAGTCAATTCAGGTTTATCCAAAAACTCTCAACTTAATCCTAATGACATTTAACCACAAGATGCTGCTGGGTTTGAGTTTTCATATCGTGAAGTTCTGGTGACTAAAAAGTTTCTGCCGAGACACAAATTCGACTTCCTGACCAGGGAAGTTCCCTGAAAAAGGTCAAAGTGTTGTTGACCAACGACGTTACAGTTATCGACCTGTAAATATAAGAGGCCAAATGTTCGCCATAACAGATACTGTGACTGCGCTGCCTTTGAAAAAATAATGAAGGAGTTCTGGAGCCTGGGGGTCATGTGAATGTGGGGACCTTTCCAACAGAGTAAAGAAGGACTTGAACTTCAGGCCCTGACCCCTCAGCTGCTCTGACTTAATTGTATTATCACAAGGATTACAGTGGAGCCACGGTTTGATTTAAAGCAACTCAGAAAACCTCATTAAGGGCACCGGTGTTCGGAAAAGTGTTTTTCCAACATAAAAAAAAAAAAAAAAATTTTGACGCAGCCTGATTAAGAAGCAGCACAAAGAACTATTGCAGGGATAAAAAAAATGTATATGCAAGGTCAAAGGTCAATAACTTAAGGTGTCAGATTTGACTAACTCTAAGCTGTTAAGACAGGTCTGTCGGGCGTCGCCAACAGCTTTGACAGGTTTAATTATTACTATTATCTTCATCAAGAGTTCGGCTGAGTCAGGTTTTATTTGATCAAGTCATCGACTGTAAAAAAAAAAGTATTGTAAACTGGATTGAAAACCAATTTTATTATTAATCACACACATTAAACACACTTCCAGAGACCTGATATCTCTCACTGACAGCAGTACTGTTTCAGCTGCCTTGCAGTACCAGTACTTTTATCCTTGTGGGAGGTCTGTGGTTTGTGGTTTGATACCTGGCAAAAACGCAGAAAATGACTAAAGAGTTAACGCTTGATAAACTCAAAGCAAAAATAGATATAAATCTAGCTTTGAGCTGCTCCGTGTTGTTGGACGTTGACGACTGTATACTGCGGTGAACTTGACAAACTTGACACAGTGTTTGTGTGTAAATATTCCATTGTTCTGGCCGTGTCCAACTCCTGATATCAATCATTAGATCCTTGTCAAAGACAATCTCCTCAGTGTTTGTGTCTAAATGAACGCTCTTTAAGCTGCTGCGGTTCTGCCAGCTGTTGCACACGACTGACATCACATCAGAGGATCAGTCACCGCTGCCTCTCTGTCATTTCACTGAAACACCAACTTTAACCAACAAATAAATAAATTCATACCTGCAGGCAGACTTCTTTCTCCTCAGTTCTCAACAGCTCTCTCCTATTTTCACACTTTACTCTTCGTTTTTCTAAAAGCTAACTGTAAGGTATCTGATCAGTACCTGGAATAACCCTGGCCTCCTCTGTAACGCCTCGGTCTTGGTTTGGATTTCGTTTCGTCAAGTGATGGAAAGGTTATCATCAAGCAGCACATCATTGGCCCAGAACTGTTGTGTCAAGATATTTGACGCTGTAGATTCAGTGACTACAATAACACAGATTTATTCCTAATTCCTTTTCCTACTGTTATTCTTTTTTTCTTTTCTTTTTTTTCTTCAGCAGAATCATTGGCAGAGTTCCTGCGTGTGAGGAGACGGCACCTTTGGTTCATACTTTAAAAAAAGATTACAGTAGAATCTGTAACGTGAAGGCGGCAGTTTGGTTTTCTGTCTCTCTGGTGCCGACAGCTCATCCATTTACCGCTGACACGGGC